TCTATTTTACTTTTCCGAACTTACTAACGTAAGAATAGAGTATTGTGGGGAATTCGGCGAATTTTCGTCACAAAAACTCTTATTCCTGGGCACTGGTAAAGAAAAAAGGATAAATCTAGTTTCCACATATAGAAAAAAACCTCTAACATGTATATCCAGAATCTATGTTTTGTGGGTCCTTGATTCCGAAAAATCGATTGACGGCAAAACGTCTGTCTGTGCTCAACGCTAGCGCATAAGCCATTCAGCCGATTTTCTCTAAAATTGATATTCCCCAATCGTTCTAGCTTATGTCGCGGGTTCTGGAATTAGTAACGGAAATTTTAATTTTGGGGTGTACTTTACATGAAGCCGCTGGGACGTTTTCGAAATTTTTAAAAATGGCTTGAATTGTTTTTATTAAATTTGGTTGTTGAATAGTGCAAAGAAGTTTAAGAGAATGCTGCAGGTCTCATTTTCGTTGATCTGAGTTTTCGAAACTGGAAAAAAATATTTAAAACTTCAGTATTGGAGTATGTGTGTTTTTAATAAAAACAGTAGTTTTGGCATATTTTGCGATTGAAATTAAAAAGTTCTAAAAAATACGCTCACCGCGCTTGTTTCTTTAAATTTTGTGCACATATGAAATAAGGAAGGTAAGGAATTCAGCGTTAGTCTAATTTTCGGCTATTGCTAGTATTTTTTCGAAAATTGAAAAAAAAATTCTATACTACAAAATTTATGATAAAAATTTTGCTTCAGACAGTCTTTTGTACAAAATTAGATTTTTAAAAATAGTGGTGCTACAGAATGGCACAGACTTTCCCATGTTAGTTTTCTATTTCCTTTGGTCTTGGCTAGGTAATCGTCCTTGCCACATACTCTTGCCAGCTGCCATCTAACGCCGCTCAAAGTACATTTTCTTTATATATTTTCTTAACTTTTCGCTTTCCTAATAGTAAAATGGAAAAATTGTTTTAAGAATATTAAAAAAGCAGTGGAAGCTTGCCCTAAATGGCATTGTTTTAAAAATTTGTAGCTGTTTTTATGAAAATGGCGTTTACGCGCTTTTGTATAAACGACGTTTGAATCTCTTTTCATAGAAAACTATTGATTTTCCAAACTTCATATTAAGTCATTTCAAGCACTTCCAGTAACAAATGCAATCGCGTTTTCAAATTTCTGAAAATGCTCACATTAAAGTAGTGAGAGATGTTTCAAAATCATTCCATTTGTGTAATTTTCGAAAAAACAGAAGAATAGAGCGATATGGAGTTTATGTCATCTTACAGAGTTGTATTTTTTTTAAATTGCTCAAATTGCTCGCAATATTGCATAAAAACTAAAATTTGCAAACTGATTTACATGACCTTCATGAAAGAACACAGTATGGAGAACAAATTTTATTTGAAGGAAAAATACATATCTTCAATTTTAATAGTTGTAGGAAGACACCGCAAAAAATTCAAACTCTTTGAATTCGTTTGCGAGTTTTTCAGAGGATCGGGATCGGGATGGAAACACGCAAGTCGGCAACACCGTGCACGTAGCGCTCTTCATTCAAACTGAGCGACAAGCTCTTACCGCGAGTTCACATCCTTTGGTGTGCTGGGAGCAATGGAAAGATCCTCACTTCTATAATATATTACCTCTGATATTAGTTGAAATTTTATGGATATTATAAAAATATAAATTTTGCTGGATATAAATTAGAATGTGGAAACAAGTTTTGAATTTTTGCATCTTTCGAAAAATTAGAGTTTTCAACGAAAATGAGACCTGCATCATTCGCATAAATGTCCATTATTCTATCAAACAATATTACATAAATATTACTAATGATGAGAAATAACGTGCTGTTTAGCACTAATAGTTTGGAGAAAAAATTGAAGTGAAGAGCCATGTTAACAAAACGCTGGTTAAGAGTATCAAACGCATCAATGTGCGTTGGGATTCATGATTTGGCTAAACCTAACGGGCGCAGCGATTTCAATACTTGTTGTCTTTGTTCGTGCCAAGAATACTGGAAATGTTTAATGTCAGCATTCCTAGATTTTTTAGTTACAAGATTGCTGAGTATCTTGTATCATCTCAGACATGTTCGTACTTTGTGTTACGAAATACATTATAGGTGGCATCTCTCTGTTTCATTAACACACATATTTCATCCGTTAACCGAGGAGTGGAGGAGCGGTTCACGTGAACTTTTCTAATTGGAATGTGCCTATCAAAAAGTTCCGTCAGTAAGGGTATTTTCTTTTCTGTCTCTACAATTTTCCTCATTGATAGGGTGCCAGGGCATAGATATGCCGTCGCAATTAAATACTTCCGGATTGATTGTCTTATACTCACTGTACTAACAATTTTGAACATTTCATGCGATATGATAAGTATATAATCTAATGTTTGCATATCCCGCGAACTGACGGGTCAGTCCATGGAGGTTTACCTTCCCGTGATTTGATTCGATTATGTGGTCAATCCATGTGTCTATGCCCACAGTGAGAGTTGCATTTCGCCGCAGAATCATAAGGTTAATTTCACAATAGAAACGCTTGAATGTATCGGCATGTGGAGATGGTGTCAGAAGATTGCAAATCAAATCGCTCATAAATATTGTTTTCATATTTGCTTGCGCAAGATGCTATCACATTGTCCACGACCTCAATATTTTCTGTTTCCAGTGGTCAGTACACTATCACTAGAGCTAATGTTTTGCCAAAAGTTGAGACTTCAATGAAGAGATATTCATTTGACTGATTAACTTTGCCTGTTGACGATATGATACATTTATAAGCGAGATCATCGCGAACATAAATACTGACGCCTCCAACTCGTGATGCAACAGCTGAATTCCAGTCGTTTCTTAGAAAACGATAGCCGGTAAGTGAAACAAGAGACATGTGAAGAGACACGTTAGGTATACAAGTACCATTTGGTATACAAAAAATAAGCGATATCAAATACTTATATAAGTATGTGTAAATTTATATTTCCAAATTTTCTCTTCAGCTAACTGCACAGCCTCGAGCCCCACTGCTATTCAGCAGTAGCGCTACTTACAAAACATAACGTGTCGCTACTTACAAAACATACTGTAGCACCAGCGGAAGGAAGAGTCGCATTTGTTTCGGACTTTTTGCACATCCGGATAAAAATGTTAATCCACCACGTTTTCAATTCACATGATCCAGGAGGAAATGAATATGCGGTATGCGAACATGCATAAAAGGGTAGCTGCGAGACTTGGGAATCATTCACAGTGACAGAGAGCACGAACCTTAGCTCTACCTTCAGCTCCAGCCATGAAATCCTTCCTTTCATCAGTAGTGGTGTTGGCCATGTTGGCCTGTGTGGTAAGTAATATTTTAATAGTGAAGATTCGTAGCCAGGATGCTTCACAGAAAGCACCAAACGCAAAAATTATATGCGATAAACATTTTCTTCGAGATTCACAATACCTATTCGTTAAACTCATGCCATGTTTTTATCTCACAAAGACTTAGAAAAATGCCTGTGATACTACGACCGCTGTCGTCCTTTAAAATTTGTCGAAACAATAATATATTCTCTAATCTTTGCTTCCCACACTGCTTCTTAAGCAAATTACTGAAATTAGATGACATTAACCCCTTCCTTGCACTAAAATTCAGTCCTTGCATTTTTCGGCATCTGGTATTGTAATTCTGTGGAAGGTGCTTGAAAGTAGCCCCTCCCCCTGTCATAATCTATTTCAATAACACAGCTTAAAAAACTAAAATGTTACATTGTTCAATATTTTAGCCCTCGCAGCGGTCACCCAGAGCTCACACCTAGAGCTTCACAAATGATTGGTTCTTCTACAGTAAACCATTATTTGACGGAAACGTGAACACGTTAACCCTATAAAATCCGAATTTATTTCACTGCATGTGAAATAACAACCGCAACCCCCATTGTGGTGTGCGCAACGGCAATGTTGGAGCAATCTGTCAGCGGTTTTGCAACTTTTATCATCAAATTGTTATGTTTCTATATTATAGAGTTAGAGGGCTTTAAAAGGCTAAACCGTTCTGCGAGCAGTCACACTACAAACGAATAACAGGCACTTCTACAATACGTAAAAGGAGGGAATGAAATAAGACAGTGGTTGACCATTCCCGTCACCTTCTTGGACGTAATTATATATGCATACAATTACATATAAATGGTGACAATTATATATACATATATGGAGCGATAATTGCGCTCGTGAAAACTCCAAGGGGTTGGTTCTCGTGGTAGCTTAGTGGTTAGAGAAGATGGACATAAACTAGAAGGCCCGGTTTCGAATCCTTGTCGGGGCAACCAATTCTTTGGACAAATTTAATAATTAAAATGCATTGTTACTCAGTAACATGGTCACAATGATGATTCCTTTGCGACTGCGGAATATATTCCCCGAGCGTATTTGCGTCCAACAAGGTGACGGGAATGGTGACAATTATAAACGAAAATTATAGTATTTTATTAAAATTTGAACCAGTTACATTAAAAATAATAATCTAAACACCGTGGTTTACATAAAATAGATATTTTCCTTCTTCCACAATGATTGTATATGAAGATAGTCCAGCTAATACCGGGGTATTTTGCTGGTACAAATAACAAAGCATTTTCAGACGGAAGAGGGCCTCTTCCCCAGCGCATGTGATCTCTGGCGCGGATCGCTGTTGTCGACATTGAAGTTCCCAATTTGTAAAATTTACAATAATTTCCGGGGATTTCATGTGACAGATTTTCAGCATCATTTTCCAAAGTGAATAATAATGTTAGTAGTGGCGAAGACGTTTCAAACATTATCACTATTCAATCATTACGTTTACTGTAAATCAGATAACGTTTTCACGTAACTTTTACCTCAATACTGCTCTCCTACTTCTTTCTTCTTGAGGTGAAAATGAAATTATCGCGGTTGACGGTTCAAGCATCTTAAAATTGCACGTTTTACAACGAGTAAAATTACTTGGAACTTATCTGAAACAATTTTCATTTACTTTCAGGTTTCTTCTGAACAATTGTGCTTCAGTAAAGAAAAGATGGTGGAGGCCTTTAAAACTTGCAAAACAAAGGAGAATATCACTTCCGGTAAGTGAGGCACACTTTCAATTATATTCTGAGATATCCGCACTACTATGTTTATTTAGTTAAGCTCATTACCATACACAAAACACGTGCAAATTACGACAGCTACAGCAAAGTACCATGTATCCAAGGAGTCATCAAGATCCTTAAAAAAATCGGAAAAATTTGGGGTTTTCGAAAAATTCAATGAATTGCCGAAAATAATTCCCCTCAGCAGGTTAGCCTCTCTGCTGGGAACCACGACATTGTTTTTGTCATATTGTTGCGAAAGGGAGGCATTATAAATTTCATTTGTTTTTCGGGGTAATTGTATTCTCATGAAAAGTCGTGAATAAATCAGTGAATTCGGACAAACCAAATAGGTCGCTTTAGAGACAATAACTACAAACGAGAATTATTTGATACGTGTTTCTTTCTCTTCAAAATAAGACTTAGAGATACATATTGGGCACTTGGGATTATATGAGTTCGCTGCATAATAACTATGAAGAGAAAATAAACACATCAATAATTTTCATAAACACTTTTACACATCTATTTATTATAAACACATCAATTTCCGTTATCAACAGCATCATAAGCAGTCTGAGTTGCTCCCACCAACTGGGGTTTGCAGCGTCCGCACCCACTTACCTGTCTCGTCAGCTCTCCTGTAATTTTGAGGGGTGGTGGTGGAAATAGAGTTTGTCGGGCGCCAACAGGAATCAATTTCAGCAGGGAATATTTTGGAGTAACTCATGCACTTCTAAAGAACGTACGCCACACACAAATTTAAAATGATCACATTCTGACATCATGTTTTATTCGTAGACTAGAGTACCTGGAACCTGAACAATTACACAATATATTGGCTGTATGGTTTGAATTCGTTTTAGAAACGTAAAGTATGTCAATTACGAATTTAAACCGCACAATATACTGTTTTATTGTTCAGGTCCGAGGTACTCTTGTCTACGAATGTTATTTGAAACGTCGTGTAAGAACACGATGCTAGAAATATTTTCATTGTCTGTCCTGGAAGACTGCAAAGAATCAGACGGTAAAAATCTCAACGAAATCTCAGTACATTTGAACAGTCAACTTATCTCTGAAGACGACAAACTATTATTTTCCTCTCTATACCATGAGTTTCCTCGATAGATAAAATTTTGATTGCCTCGAATATATTTCTTAAAAATCGAATATTAAACTAAAACCATTCGAGTTTGACAAGTTTATCTTCCAATCTTTTTGTGGACTAAAACATGCACTTAAAATTGACTTGCCCGCGATATAGGATTTTGCCTCAAGTTGGGTCTTCGGTTTGGAGGGTCGAGGTCAAGCTTAAGTGATAGGTTGGAGATCGCCATCATTTTGTCGAACACTTGCATTATTACCTGTTGATTCATATTTAATAGTGTGATGATGAAATTTGATACCCTTTTCTTTGGAGTAGGCATGGACTATGACAGTCAATGATTGTAATAAACTCCGAATATTTGAAAGGAGAGTTATAAGAAGAATTTATGGTAATGTACACGATGGATGAAAATGACAGTTAAGAACTTACAAAAAATTGATGAAATTCTGAAAAATAATGATATTGTTAGGTGCATTAAGTCACAAAGAATGCGTTGGTTGGATGAAATCGAAATAATGGATCATGGGTGAAAACCTAAAACGATATGTACAGCCTGAATGGGTAGAAGACGGCGCCCGGAAAGACTAAGATGGACTAAATAGGGATTAAGTAGAAGCAGATTTGCAGACAAGGGTGTGCGACCTTGACGAACAGCTGCCCAAGACCGAAGAAGATAGAAATCTGTTTTTGGGAAGGCCAGAGTCGGGCATGATGGATAACGGAACATGATGACGATGGTTTCAATGGTGTCCGGCGAAAAATTCTTTCGGTTCTTACAATTATTACGGATTTATTGCGCTGTAAGTAAAACATCCTGGTGTGGCAGCAATTTATCTGAGAAGCGTACAGAATTCAGCAGTGGTGTGAATCACAGGGAGGAAATCCAGAATTCTAGTCAATTTTCTCGATATATGCAGTCCAATTTTTCAATAATAATATTCTTGGATCTTAAGGTCGCTACTATTTTACCATGTAGGTTAATGTCCCGAAACAGATATATCGATTTTGAATAATAATTTAGCGACATTTTATATAAGAAAACTTATAGTTTTCAAATTGCTCGTCTGTGATGTGAATGGAACGAATGGTTACATCCCTTCTTGTGGCATTTGACTCAAGTATTTATAATTCTTAATATAAAACTAGGCAAAAACTAGGCTCTTAAGCCCGAAAAGTGACAAACGTCACTTTGAGCGCCCCAAAAAATACATTATGACGTCCATATGTCGTTTAAAGCTGATTCCTCACAATATTTTCTACACAGTGTTTGTCACGCTGTCTACGACCGCTGCCAGAGGCCAAACATATGTTAGCGATTTTCCTGCTACTTGCAAGATTTTAATTGAAGTATCCAAATCTTCAAGCCAAGATCATGCATACCATAATACTGACAATATTTTGACGAGGAAATTTTTATGTTATTTTATTGAAAGTTTCATATTTTAGAGTTCACTCCATCACTTAAATACATTAACGTAAAATCTAAAACTGAGACGTATCTCGTTTTTTAAGCTGTTTAAAATATGTCACATTTTACCTTTTATTTTGAATGAATTAAAATTCTATTTTATTTTACAGAAACTGAAAAAACATTATTGAACAGAGAAGTTCCCGAAACCATGGATGGCAAGGTAAAGTAACAAATTTGCACATTTTTCTGGAAGGGATAAATCAGGAACTATAATGTTATTTAAACAACCAAAAACATAAGTAATTACAAATTTTCCTTCTTACTTCTGCATCTTTAAATAAGATAACTTCATTTTTATAGATAATCGGGGAGATTTTACGCAGTTACAACACGATCAGCAAGACTATAAAGCAATTTATTACCGGTCTGACAGTTATTTTGATACCTCTGCAGAAATATGACGTACTATTTTCTTCTTTAAGAAGCCTTAAGAAGAAGACACACAACTAGCTTTTACATGTTACAAAAACCTTGACAAGTCTCAATGCTCAAGTCTCTACAGCCTTGGCAGTAAATCGTAGATGATATTGAGTTCAGAGCCTTAAAAACAGGAACAGAAAAGAATGACATTTTCTTCATTAAGCAATAAAACAGAGTTTACAGCACCAAAATAATATACTTTCACGTATACGTACGTATATATGGAGTAATTTTTAAGTAAAATTTCAAAACTAGTAGTGATACAGAATGGCACAAACTTATTTTTACTGGTTACTTTTCCATTTCTTTGGTCTGGGTTAGCTTTTCTGTCTTGCCACTGCTCTTGCCAGCTGCCGTTGAAATCTTGATTTTTCGGTTTCCTAATGGTAGAAACGCTATATTACTTGAAGAGTATTATATATGAGTAAAACCTTGGCATTGCAAGGTACTATTCGTAGAAAAATTTGGAGAAACTTTTAAGAAAATGTGATATAAGTGTTAGTGTAAATGCGAAATTTGAAGCTCTTTTACAACGAAATTTTTTAAGTTTTCAAGAAACTTCTTTGGATTATATTATTTCTGACGCAACGTACATAGCCATTTTACCCACCCCCAATAAAAATTGATATGAATTTCTGAATTCAAATAATTTATTTATCTGCATTTAATAATGCTAGTTGCTCCTCATTTTTCTTTTAATTAACAGTATTTTGCAGTCATGCAAAATAATATTTGGTTTTCATCGTTTCAGAAAGCCATAAAATAAATATTTCTTGTTTCAGTGTTTCCTCGCTTGTTGGTTCGAGCAGTTACATTTGGTGAGTATTATATACATTCTTGACAACCTTTTTGATCAAAGAATAACTACCTTCAATGACAAGAAAACATTTCCAGTCTAGTGGTAAAAATAATATTTTTTATAGGAGAAGTTTCACTGGAAATTGACTTCTTCAAATTGAAGTGGAAGGGATCCAACGTTGGGACTAATTTATTTATCACAATCATTTTGTTAGTCAGGAAAAATAAATAAATCTATTTATACGGTAAAATGGAAGTGATTTTTCAAAACGCCCGCAACGGAAGAATATTAATGGAGTCCATTTCAAAATGTATTTCAGAATATTTCAATAATTGCATTATTTTCTTGATAAAATTATAGATTTCTTTTCATAACATGTAGTGTTTTAAAAAACAAAGTAAAGTACTAGAGTACATAAGACAAGTAGTGTGGAGCTGTTCTGAAATATCGAAAAAAATATAATTTACAAGAATTTCATTTCAGTAATAAAGCAAATATTTTGAGTTTTATTGGCTATGTTTTTGTGAATTTACAAATATCTACTATAAATGCAATCACATTTTTTTTATTTGTAGGTCATAAGTATCCGCCCCTTGTTATTCGTCATAGTACCTTCTCCGAAATAAAAAAAAAAGCTTTTAGGTATTTACAGTGCCATACAACAGTCACCCCCAATAACGTCAAACACACTTTGCGGAAAAAAGTGCCTCAGGGCATCAACCGGTGTCACTGCAGTGCCTCTGACTGGTTTGTCCTAGAGTTCATGTCCCGACGGTGGCAGAATTTATGACACTACCTAAGTCAGCTAGATATGTACAGCCGCATCGTGGAGAAGAACTCTAGCAGTCGGCTGCTCTGATCGGTAGTTTTCCTTGGTTTCTCCATTCAACATCAGGCGACAGCCAGTGGTGCCCTAACAATTGGGCAGTGAACGGGCTCACGTCTATCGGCGACGTCCCTGCCTCGCGGCCATGGGTTAGGGGGTACGTGTGATTAGCACGCAGATATCCCCACGTATTCCGGTCTTCTCAACCTGAGAAGTCAATTTTCTGATCGTCACACAGCAATATATACTAGGACATTGCAAAGGAAAACGTACACTATAGTCTTGGCTAGACCGGGAATCGAACCTTAGGCCGCGTAGTAGAAAGCGAGTACGCTGCCCAAGAGCTAGCCACGAGCCCGTCGTGAGTAGAGCGGAAAAATAACGAAGAAAGTGATTTAAGTGTCATAGTAAAGTGCAGTGTGATCTTAATTGTACAAGCATTCATTGCGGAATTAGATTATAGAAGTTTATTTTTCTTAATCTAACAATGTTTTATGAATGTCATTTTCTATATTATTATTTGCATGTTAGTTACAGTACATTATTTGTGAAATTAGCTGCCACTGGGTTATACCCTTTTGCAGTGTACGTACATGTGTCTTCTCTAAGCCGTTGTCTCGTGCGCGCAGTGCTCGCAGAGCGGCAAGCTGGACGTGGGCTCGTGCGACAAGGTGTGCGACGCGGTGTGCACGGCCGACAACGCGCGCGGGGAGCAGCTGCGCGCCGCCGTCGAGAAGTGCCGGCCCGAGGGTGAGTGGCGCTCTGCACCCGACGGCGACGCGCGTCGGAGAATGACGCTGGGTTATATGCGAAACGGCACAAGAGCGCTGTGGCCGTTTTGGGTTGATCTACGACGCGCGTCAACATAACGCTCGTGTGACAGGCCCCTACCGTTTATTTCAGAAACCAGTCAAGTGCCAAGCATACTGTTTTAGGGAAAACTAAAAAAGAATCTACCATCATTTTTGTTGCTGAAAATATGATACATTTCAGTAATATTTGTTGAAAAAAAATCGTACACTCTTTTATGAAAATATTTCACTTTTAACTCATTTTTTTGTTCTTGACTGGTTTCTGAAATAAACGATTCAATAGCAGTATCGTTTGTACACATTTGCTGTCTTTCTTCACATATGAAGAATATGTTTTCAGATTCCCCATCAATGATGGGCACCCTCAAAAACCTTCAAGGAATTCACGATATCCAAATACTGTTTTCATAGTACATTTTTCGTTATGGGGCAAGTAATATACCATGGCCAATTGTTTCTTTTATTGAAAAATTATACACGTTTTATTTTTAAATGTAACTATTATATATCTTTTCTTCTGCGATTTTTTATTGTCAAGGGTACAGAGTCGCTCACTGAGCTTAATCGGTTGCAGCCAAAAATCAAGCACAGCGAGAATTGTAAGCAGCGAAATTTGCGCTTCAAGTTCTACTTCTTTACGTGATAAATAGTACACGCGATCTTTGCGTCATCGCGTTATGTGAAGTAAGATGAAAGTTTAGGAATTATAGAATTTAGGACTCCCATTACTATTTTTTCAAAAAATTCTCATTCCTTATAATACATTTTTAAAAGTATAAACGAATTGTTTAAAATGTGACTGTAACTCAAAAGACATGATGTAAATTATAGATTAGTTTCACCGCAAACACGTGCACATTCGTAAATACAAAATCTAGATAGAGATTTCTCTGTCACTATCATATCCCTCTTTGGCTTCCGATGCAATATCTGTAACATAATTCTTGTAATCAATTGAATTATCTTCGTTCTACTTTGGGTATTTAACCCTCCTCGTGAATTTTTATTTTCACTCCTTATCTCCTATATTACACCGGAATGTATACTGTGTATCAACATACCCCACGTATAAATAATGAAGTAATAGATATACACCAAGGGCGTTATGATCGAGTGGCAACAAAATTCAAGTCTTCGGCCCGAGCTCATTAGAACCAATTAACGCCTTTGTTACATACAAAATTGTATTATTTACCTAATTTTAATGATTCAACTATAGTTATTTACTAGTTATCTAAATCTTAACTGGACTAGATTTATCTTTTCATATTTTCTTCTCATAATTCCCTGCATACAAATAGCATAATTCAATTGCTTTCATATTTCTCTCGATTCCACGATTCTCTCGATCCAGCTACGTTATGCAGAGTATATTGAGATCCGTGTCGAAGACAATGGCAAGCAATAACGTATCAGTAAAAAATAAAATTCACTTTTATTCTCCAGTGCTAGCATCTTGAGCTAAACACTCACTCTGTTCCAGGAGACAAGGCAACTGGCGAGGAGAGCACCCTGCGCTGTGAGAGGGCCTACCACATCGCCAAATGCGTGCACAAGGAGATCGCCAACGTGAGTTTCAGCTCTTTCGTCCTTTCCCCTATCGAAGCCTCTCATCATAATATCTGTTTCTACATCACGTAAAATGCATTAATAAGAGTTACCAATGATGCCAATGCTTTTTATTCTAAGAAAATTGAAGGGCCGATCAAAGGCAGTATTTTACAGGTACTGTTACTGTTATTATTAAGTAATATTACATTCAAAAAAAATCGCTAATACATCCGGTAATATTCATTTGTGACAGCCACTAGGTCAAAGCATATCTTTCAGGTCTTGCCTAACGTGCTAAAAGTTCAATTTTTAATACTAGTGTTAAAAGTGAGACATTTCTCAAGTGTTTAGATAAATCTGTGAATGCAAAAAAAAAAAAATTTCTGTCCACATCTGAGACTACTGACTTTAATATATAAGTGTTTTGTATACTGGAATAAAAAAACGAAGGTCTGGAAGGCTTCGGTTGGTAAATACAATGGTAAAAGTGATTTTATTTTGCTCGTAGGATTGCATCACTGTTCAAGCGGTCTGTGTCGCAACGTTCTCTATTCTCAAAATAAAAAGTCACCTTTACCACTCGTGTCATATATAACTCTTACTCACATTTCAAGCAGGGCTAACAGAAAGGTTCAATATCACATTTTGCCAGATTTGAGTTAACGGTGGGAAACTGTCTATAAAATATAAATTCAACTTCCTGAACATTAAAGTTCGTTGTCTGTGAACTCTGTGACGTTGTTGAGTGTTCTTCAATTGTTAATGTTAAGAAAAAATACCGATGTCCAGATCTTAGAACCTTTTTGCTTGCTCTTCAAAATTTGGAGTTCCTGGACATCGCACGTTTTTGTTTTCTACGATACATCCCTTACATTATAAAACAGAAAAACTTCTCTTGTAGTTGATAAATATTGAGAAACATTAACCTAGAATAATAAGTAAGTTTGAAATAAATACTTATATGAAATTGTGTAATAGTATATAACCTATTATTTCAATTAGCAAACGAATGAATTAATATTTTTAAATTGTATTTATTTTATTCCATAACATTACCTGCCACAAGTTATGAGTTGGCTTGATTAATCAAATAACACTGAATCGTAATAGTACCACTTCTAAAGGTTTTGATTACAAGAAGTATTTTCTTATCCATCAGAAATACACCCAAATTCATGATATAATTTTTTGTCCGCAGATTTGGGATAAGGATTACAAGACAGGTAAAAAAGAAAATGCTTAAGAAGAGAAAAGGAAGACACATTGTTAATTCCAGTGGGGGCAATTTTCCTTGCCACCGATAGTTACGTCTCTCAAGAGAGAACATTTTCTTCGTTCTCTTTAAGTTCATCCAAGGCCAACTGATCTGAAGTTCTTTAAGTATTATACTAGGCACTGATGTACTTGAATATATGAGCGTATATAAATTATCATTTGCACAGAAATTCCTACTCTTCGCATTTTATTTAATACACTTTTCTGAATGATTTTATACAGAAGTACGCAGTACATTCATTTTATGTACATTTGTATCTTAATAAGAAAATAAATATTTCTAAAACATGAAATTTTCATTTTGGAACGATCGATAACATAGCTTTTTGACAACCGTCATGATGGTTTACAATCTCGTGAAAGATTGCCAGGATTCTCGAAAAGTAAAGCATTTTAGTTAATTGCGTCGGTAAAAGTTTCAAAAAATACGTTAATAGAACTAATGCCATTTCCACCATACATCCATAAACGTCGAGTAGTAATTCGCAAAAGGAAAAGTTGAAAAATCCATCTCCTGAATATATAGGCTAATAGTACAACAATTTTGTCTGGATTAGATGCAGGTCCAAGCGAACCAATGGTTTTGGTCCAGCTCCTGGCCGAAGGGCAAATGCTTTTGGCTGACTGCATGCCTTTGTGCTCTCTGGTAGCTCGCTGAATCGTGGAAAGTAAGAAATCCAGAGCAAAACTAATTTAGGTTCGATAACAATGGAAAGGAGGAGTAAAATGAAGGGTTAACCATTAACTATTGTGATCCCCAAATGGGGATAACGGAATGTTTAGTCAATTCTTTAACTCTGAATAGGTTGGTTGTTCTGAAGTACTGTCTAAATTGTGTGTTAAACAATTAATACACTGTTAATTGTGTGTTTGTATGTTCCTTCGTAAATGTGTCCAGGTTAACAACTGATTATCGCGTTTCAAGTCAGGGTTGCCAGATGCTTCGTACAAACATCCGCCGTGAGATGGGTGCAAATCCGTTCAATTTTGCCTGAAAGGAAAAATTCAACATTGCAAATGGAAAATTTGAATTTGCATGAAAATAATAGATGGGTCTAGTTTCAAACGTGACTTTCCAACCTTGGCTCAAAAATGAGATATTGGTTTCAATACGGGCCCGTAGCAGGTATGCCTAATTCTATAAAATGTTTTGTAACAAAACGCATTTTTTTCACTCCAAATGTCTTCATAATAATGTGTTACTATCAGAAAGCGATCTTTCCATAATTCATATTTCGTTGGAAAGTTTGATCTTTTCAATCCACCAATCATTCTTTTTTTTTGTAATTAAGACAGCATCAACTACTAGGTCATTAGCGACTACTATTGCGTGTAAAGGTATGGTAACAATGAGTATGAAACGATATGATGATGATGATGATGATAGGGATGTGAAAGGACGAACACAATACAACCATGCCCGAGGCGGGATTTGAACTCGCGATCCTTCGGTCCGAGATTGCTACGGCACTACTGCCTTAGCGATCTCGGCATCCGGACCGGCAGATATCCTTCTGTAAGTATATTTTCGCGCCGTATTAATCATGAAAATTTATAAAATCTATCTGGCCTAAGGATATACCAAGCTGATACTGAGAATGATGAGTATGGCGAAAGCTAGCTGTTAGGGATTGCTGATCATCAGTATATTGTTGTCCTTCCGTTTAAACAAGTCGCACCGAAGCTAGGGTAATCTCGATCGTGCGCTTTATCCCAATTTTACGCGCTCGAAGCACAACTTGCAAAGGATGTTGCTCTTGCAACGAATTATAGGGAATTTATGAAGGAATATATAAGCATTGGTTATATGCAACAGGCTCCACAATCTCATGTGAAGTCACCTGTTTATTACTTCCCAGACAACAGCGTGGTAAATCCTGACTCCAGAACGACGCAGTTACGTGTCATGTTCAATTCGAGTTCAAAGACCTCTATAGGTTATTCCTTAAATTATGCACTGTCTGTCGGCGCAACAATTCAACCGGATGTTTTCTCCTTACCGTTACGGTTTCGCACTCACGTTGTCGCCCTCTCTGGAGACATTGCTAAGATGTACAACCAAATTCAGGTGTATCCTAGGTTTTATGGTTGGCAACGGATTTTTTGACGTCCGGAGCCGCAGCAACCAGTCCAAGTGTACCAGCCGAAAACAAACACGTATGGTACCGCAAGTGCCCCCTTCACTGCGGTGCGCACTTTGAACCAATGAGCTGTGGATGCACCATTTCATCTTCCGCGCATTCAGGAGGTCATTACATCACAGTTCTACGTCTACAACGTACTTGCTGGAGCGGATACGACGCAAGAGGCATTAGAGGGTGTCAATTCGCTAGTGAATGTTATGAATAAAGAAGGGTTTCCTTTACGAAAATGGCACAGCAACGACCCTAATGTTATCGCTGAAATTTCAGAAGAAATTAGGGAACATCAGTGTGAATCTGTGTTAGCCTGCTCGAAGGAATCTACCACCCACGCACTCGCACGTGAGAGACAAGTTCGCTCAGGTCAGAATATATTAATCCATCCTCTGCACCCACACGGCATCCATTTAAAAATAAAGGTGCTCTGGACATACTTGACATAAGTCTAACCACGAACATAAATTTCCCTTTTTTACTCGATATCTGATCTCGGTTCGGATCATAACTCCATTATAATATAATTTCAGAGGACCGCTAAAGTAAACAATATAAAAAACTAAAAAATGGTTAAGTGGTAAATTAACTGTGATCTCTTTAGAATAAAAATAACCAAAAAATTCCTAAAATATATTAAAAACGAAACAGATATTGATTTTCAGGTTAATAATCTAATAAAAGCAATAAGCTTCACGGTTAATGAATTATGTCAACCAGTGCAATCTAACAAACATTCATCTTACTGGCTACCGAAACACATCATGGACTTGATAGAAGACAAACAGAATTAGAAGACTCTGGCAGTTGTATACAAGACCACGCTTAAAAAAGAAATGGAACTCTTAATATAAAAAAGTAAAATTTCTTATCAAAGAATCCAGGTAGAGTTCATTTAAGCAATCTTTAGTGCAAATTAGCTCCGGCTCACCTTTATTACGGACTAATATCAAAAACGTTAACAGAGAGCAATCTAGAATACCACCATTAAAATCGAGCACCAACACCCTCTACATAGATGAAGAAAAATGCGGAGGCTTTCGCTGTTCACTTCTTAAATACCTTTAAACCCAATTCAATGGTAAATCATATGTTTAATGAGGAAATTTTAAACAGCGTGAAGCAACCTACTTACTCTGCGGATGTAAGAACAAAATGCATATTCCCTCTGAACTTAAACTCACAATAAACAGATTCAGAAACAGAAAAGCGAATGGGCATGACATAATATTTGCTCAAATATTAAAAGAATTACCAAAATACAAAATTGTAAGAGCAATATTAAATGCAGTTTTAAGACTAGGTTATTACTCAAGCAATTGGGAAAATGCAATAATTATTCCAATAAACAAACCTAAGTTATGTCCACAACTACTAGACAATTACAAACTAATTAGCCTATTAACATGTATTAGCCAAAGGGTTTGATAGACTGACTGCCACGTACGCCATACCGTATACACAGTTTGTCTTGAGAGCAAATCATTCGATTGAACAGCAAAGTTTAAGTTACGGATTAGATTGCGTAAGGGTTTTCATGAGAAAAAGAACACGGCAGCTCTATTTGTAGACGTTACTAAAGCGTTCGACCGTGTCTGGCACACAAGACTGAAATACAAATTCCTCCATCTAGGCATTCCCAAGTATCTTCATGATATAATTCAAAGTTTCTTGTTAAACAGATCATTTAATTTTAAATTCACGACACCAGTTCTACAAGATTCTCTATTTACACCGACTTTATTCAAATTTACCTTGATGATTTTCCGAAATCAATGGATATTGAAATAGCCTTATTCGCTGAAGACACTACCATCCTCTCACAGTATGAAGAACTGATTATTGCCTTAAAATACGTACAAAATGATTCAAATACCTTAATTAAATGGTCTGACAATTGGAGAATGCAGATAAACTCAAACACATTACAAGCGAAAAATTTCTCTCCTAAAAGATTTATAACTATAATTTTAACAATCAGTAACAATCCGGTTCTCTGGCTAAATATAACCAACCCGACAAATACCTAGCAGTCAAAATACTAAATAGAGAGAGAAACAAGGAAGAACCACATAGATGATATTGCCAACAAAATCTATTAAAAAATTGTCAAACTTAATCCATTAATAAATAAAAACTCAGCATTTAGAATAGAAAACGGAGTAACAATTTATAAGTCAATAATTCATCCGTCGATTATGTAAGCGTTCTCAGTAGGGAAGGCGCTGCATAGAGGCATATTAATAAATTAGAAATGATCCAAAACTGATTCCTAAAACTGGTTACCAAAGCTCCCTGGTTTATTTCTAATGCATAAATCCAAAGGGAATTAAACATCAGTTGCATTAAAGTGTACATTAAACTATCAAAACATTTTTATTTAAGGCTTGAAGATTGTCCTAGCAAAGGACTTTCAACCTTGGCCGTACAGCTTATGCACCATCCAGGATGTATTTTCACGCTTTCCAAAATATCGCTTAATTCCGCCATGAATTGATGGTGATAAGGTTGGAAACATTATATGTGATTGTAATATTGATTCACACGTGTAGTATTTTTACTCAATGTTATATGTTTGTATTGAATGTAAATATGAACCGGATATAGATCAAATACGTGTACTTGTGCCCTGATGTAATTTGAAGAGACTTATGTTCTTCGTGTAATGAATATTTTGTAAACAATAAACCCCGAAAGGCCTGAAGAGCCAAACGGGTAGAAATTACATTAAAAAAAAATTCTGGTTGTCTAGACTAGTGTAATGGGACGGTCGAACGCGTCAGGTGGCGACGCGTGTTTTGTAAAATTATATTGAATATAACGTTAATGCGAAAGATGCCAGGAAATGTGCAGTTCTCCACTACCTGCAAACGTTTTTGGTGCATCGGGAACGCTAAGGCATGCTGCCTTATTGTCACGAAACAACCCACACCAGGCCGCATCCGGTGACTCATGGGAAAATACGGACGCCACGAACTTTCCTCGGAACTTGGGTGACGTTCGAGTTTTGCAGAATTTGTTGAGACTCTGGCATCCGTCAACTACGCCGCGATTGGGCGGAAGAAACCACGTGACGCACGCCCATCAATCGTGGGAAATGAAGAAGAGGGAGGGCCACGTGGCCCGCGAAGCCGAGGAGGCAACTGAAAGACGCTAGCTCTGCCATTCGGATTCCGATGACGGAGACAACATTAAGATGGTAGGCCTTGCGGAGGTGATGGCGAGGGCGAGTTTCTTTTACTCAAGGGGGGACGCCAGCTAATGCATTGCCGCATCGCCGCTCCGCCATGTGAACGCCGAATGGAAGGCCACATCTTACCGATGTCATCTTTAAAAAGCAAAGAGATACGTTTGGACTTTTGATTGTAAAAACATAAATAGCATTCTGAATACATGTACTTTCGTTAGTGTATTATTTGTTTTATGGATTTATTCGTGCAAATAACGTTAATTCAAAATTTCCCGTTTCCCTGCGCTTCCCTGAATAAAGTCTTTAAGTTAAGTGTGCTGCAATTAAATACAC